TCTTCTACATTATAGGCCGCATAATCGGGCCCATAGTCTTTAGCAACTCTTGCTCTTTTACTTCTTCGAAGTTCTGTTTCTACATTGTCGCTGCTTTCAGTGCTTTTTATCACAAGAATGTGACTCGATTGTGTGCCCCCACTATTTCTCGATTTGAAAGGAAATTTGTCTTCAAAGAATTAAACATCGTTTGATTCTATAATTACTCTGGCATTTAGGTCATAAAACCTGTATGCCTTACTGTTTGCTGCATACCCAATGAATACGCATTCATAGGCTCTACTAGCGAGTTTAACTCGTTTCGGATCCGAAATTCTGACATAAGCCAGACAGCCCCAAGTTCTTAAATAAGACAAATTTGGTTGTCTTTTCTTTAATATCTCATAAGGTGAGATCTTACTTTTTGACTTGGGAACTTTATTCAGGACATAGCAAATAGTCAATAAAATTTCCCCCCACCAGTGAGGTGCAACACCAGAATTTAACATGATTGCAACTACAAATTCAGTAAGAGTCCTATTCTTTCTTTCTGCTTTACCATTCATTTCAGGAGAGTATGGAGCAGTCGTTTCATGTATAATACCATGTTCAGCATAAAAATCATTAAACAAGCTAGAGTCATATTCGGTTCCCCTATCATTGTGAAGTCTCTTAATCTTCTTGTTAAATTGATTCTCAATTTCAGTTACATACACCTTAAACATGTCAAGCGCTTCACTTTTATTTTTCATTAGATATATATAAGTATAATCAGAGCAATCGTCAATAAAAGTGATAAAATAACGTTTATTATTTCTAGTTAAACTTCCATCTAATTCACATATATCAGAGTGTATAAGATCTAGGGGGTCAGATTCTTTTATAATTGACTTATGTGAAGTTTTAGTTATTTTAGCTTGACTGCAAAATTCACATTTATTAGAATCATTAACATTTATTTTAGGGATTAGGCCTAAGTTGCTTGCATTAGAAAGGATTCGTTTATTAACGTGACAAAGTCTACCATGCCAAATATTAAAGTCACACACAAAGTAAACAGAAGGAGAAATTTTATTCAAATCAACATTCAACTTAAACATGCCATCAGTGGCGTACCCTTTTCCAACAAAAATACCATTCTTAGTGATGGTGTACAAATCTGCCCCTAAAGTTTGACTAAACCCAGCCTTATTCAAAAGAAAACCAGAAACAAGTTTCTTCCTAATTTCAGGAACATGCATGACGTCCTTCAAGATCAAAGTCTTTCCTGAAGTGAACTTCAGCTCAACATCTCCAATTCCAGCAACATTAGTGGTGTGAGCATCTCCTAACAACACTTTCTTATTTTCAGCATTCATGTATGTCTTGAACATAGCACGATCATAACAGACATGACGAGTGGCGCCAGTGTCTATCCACCAGCCATCACTTCCACCAACTATGTTGATTTCAGTGATCATGGCAATGAGTTGCTCATCAGTCAGGTTGACCTGAGCATTTGAGCCAGCTGCAGGTTTAGGCCTGCTCCTACATTTCTTTGCCATATGGCCCGGTTTCCCACAGTTGTAGCAAGAGAAAACCGGAGCATCATTTCTTTGAGGTGGTGGCTGTTGCTTAGCAAATGGAGCCGATGGGGCCCTATAGGGATTCCCATTCTTAGTTCGGTTCATAGCATTGCGGTTCTGATTCTTTAAAGGTTTGCCTGTAGGCTTCAGAACCGCACCGAATTTCTTTTTGTTGTTAGACACAACTAAGACTTCTTCTTTCTGATCTTGTTTCCGAGCCTCCTCTTCAATTCGGAGGCGAGTTATCAGACTCTCGATTGAAAATTCTTTTGTTTTGTGACGAAGTACATTTTTGAAATCTTTCCAACCAGGGGGCAGTTTGTCAATAATTACAGCAATTTGAAATTGTTCATTGAGGGGCATACCTTCTGTAATGATCTCATGAGCAATCTTCTGAATTTCGTGGCTTTGAGCTTCCACCGGCTTCTCATCCACCATTTTGTAGTTCAAGTAGCGGCTGACAACAAATTTCTTCGCACCTGCTTCTTCAGTATCATATTTTCTTTGCAGGGTCTCCCATACCTGTTTAGCAGTCCTGTAGCTACTGTAGTAGTCGTACAGATCATCAGCAAGGCTGTTCAGAATGTGATTTTTGCACAGATAATCATTCTCGTGCCATAAGGCGATTTCTTTTCGGAGCTGCAAATCATCTGCTGCAGCCTTAGCTTTTGCAGCATCTGCTGCAACCTTAGCTTTTGCAGCATCTGCTGCAGCCTTAGCTTTTGCAGCATCTGAGTCAGACATTTTGGAAGTCCCGTCTGAATCTGCAAGTGAGTTACCATTAGGTAGTTCAGATGATGCAGAAGGGACAACCGGGATATCCTCAGTCAGAACGTGGGCAACCTTTTTCAGAGTTAAAAAAAACTTCATCTTAGCTTGCCAACGTTTGAAATTGGAACCCTCAAACCTGAAAGGTTTGTCAGAGACCGAAGCAGCCGTAGTAGTACCGATAATTTCCTCAGTTGCCATGGCAGTTATTAAAACGTCTTAAAATTGTTGTTTTCGGATTTAAAAAATTGAGTTTGGCACAAGGAAATTATCGGGACGAGTCGCGTACTAGGTCGTTTCTTTAAGACGTTTCACCGTACTGCCAAATTATGCAAAGCAGTCGATTTACGACGACGCCTCCAGGATAAAACAACCCGTTCTAGCCCGTTCTTAAAACTTACGATTATCAGTTGCACACTGATAAATCGCTCTAGAAATACACCTTTCTAAATTAGTATCTGGCGCAAATAACCAGTCAAGAAAAGAAAAAATTGTAAGATGAAGAGAATAAAGGGAGAGAAGAAGGAAATCAAAATTCGTGTGAATTTGTGAAATCCGATGTGCTCACTACTGAATTTCTACCCTGTATTTATAGGCATCTAGTAAGGCTTAATTTCCATTCCCTTCAATGTGGGACTAAATTGAATCTTAATTTTCATTCCCTTCAATGTGGGACTAAAATGAATCTTAATTTTCATTCCCTTCAATGTGGGACTAAAAATGAATCTTTTCAAATTCACTTCTATATTAGTTCTTACTTGTATTCATTTATTGCTCATTAATTGTCAACAAATGTTTCCAATTCCCACTCTAATCAATTAAAGTTCCAATATATATATATATATATATATATATATATATATATATATATATATATATATATATATATATATATATATATATATATATATATATATATATATATATATATATATATATATATATATATATATATATATATATATATATATATATATATATATATATATATATATATATGCCCTGTTTAAGCTCGTTACACATAAACCCACAGAAAAACTTGGCAGAATGAGTCGAGTCAAACAAATATATTCTTATAATTAAACAAATCAAACGTAATTAAATATTCAACATTATAGTTGATAGCAAAAATGTCCCAATTCAATGAGCAGACCATTCAACTTATTAAGAAATGCACAAAGAAGATCATTCACCTGAATTAGGGCTGGCAATGAACCAAACCAACTCGAAGATAGTTCGAAATTCGACTCGACAATTAAATCGTTGAACTAGGTTCATGAACCAAATGAGTTGAGTATGAACGAAAAATTAAGTTCGTTAACTAAATGAGCTGAACTTGAACTATACATAGTTCGACTCGTTAGGTTCATGAGTCAACTCGATTACATATGAAAAGAATTATACTGTCTTTAAGATTAAGTTTAAATATTTACTTCAAATCTTAGACAAATTTAATCTTCAATTTAGTAATTTTTGAGTTAGACTCTCAAATGTATCTCTTGAAAGTTGTGTAGGTTTTGAATTAGTAAATTTCGAAGATAAATGTAATTTCAATATGATAAATTTTATTTTATTTTAATATTTTATTTAAAAAATATATATTTATTTAAAATGTCAAATATACTATATTTAAAAAAATAGTTTTTAAGTTCGTGAACCATGTGAGATGAACCTAATGAGATGAACCTAACGAGTCGAACCGAACTGTTCGTGAACTTATAACGAGTCGAGTTTGAGTTTAAAAAAAAGTTCGTGTCGAACTCGAACTCGAACTCGAATTCGAACAATTTTTAACGAGTCGAGCCGAGCTGAGGTGAGTTCGACTCGACTCGACTCATTTCCAGCCCTAACCTGAATCAAGTAGAAGAGGAAATCCTGAGACAAAAGGCAAAAGTTACTTGGCTGCAATTAGGTAATAACAACAATGCCTACTTCCATGCTTCTATGAGGGAGAAGAACAAACATAAAGGGTTATATAGTATGAATGCTTTAAATGGTGACATTCTTAGTAAGCATGAGGATATTGAAAAAGAAATTGTTGAATTCTATACTAAGCTGGTAGGCACAAAATCAGCTAATCTAAAAGGCATTGAGGTCCCTATAGTGAGAGATAGGAAAAATTTAAGTTGGGAGGGTGTTCATCAGCTTATAAGACCCGTGGAAGATAAAGAAATTTGGGATGCCATGAACAGCATAGGAGACAATAAGGCTCCAGGATTAATGGCTAAGATGCTTATTTCTTCAAAAAAAAAAAGCTGGCAGATTGTGAAATATGATGTGAAGGCTGTTATCAGTGAGTTTTTTTAGAACAGTTACATGTACAAAGCCATCAATTGCTCTCTGATTACTCTGATTCCCAAGACCCCTGAAGCCAAGACTATTAAGGAAATGAGGCAATAGCATGTTGTAGTACTATCTACAAGATCATTCCAAAATTCTAACTTCAAGACTTGGTAAAGTCATTGGCAACATTATTGAAGATACTCAATCTGCATTTATTCCTGATAGGACAATTCATGATAAATCATGCTTTCTCAAGAATCGGTGAGAGGGTATGGCAGAAAATAAATATCACCCAGATCTATGATCCATCTAGATATTCAAAAGGCATATGATACTGTGAATTAGCAGGCTTTGACTCACATCATGTTAGAGATTTGTATACCTCAGGTTTACGTTAACTGGGTCATGTCTTGTATGGTAACTGTATCTTACTGGTTTTCAATCAATGGCACTCCATCCAAGATTCTAAGAGCAAAAAGAGGGTTGAGGCAGGGAGACCCCATCCCACCTCTCTTATTTGTGATCATTATGGTATATTTGCACAAAACCTTCCAAAGTTTGCAATATAACCCTAATTTTAACTTCCACCCCAAATGTAAGTTAAAGATCATTAACTTGTTGTTTTCCAGATGATATCCTGTTATTTACTAGAGGAGATATTGTATCTCTGAAGCTGATCATGGAGAAAATACAAAACTTCTCAGATTCAACTGGATTATATCAGTAGTCTTAAAAGCAGGCTGTTTGTGGGAGGAGTAGATGGGGACACTAGAAGATATATTCATCAAGAGACTGGTGTGACAGAAGGTATGATGCCATTTAGATACCTTGGTGTGCCTTTGAATAACAAGTAACTGTCTGTTCATAATTGTCAACCATTAATTGAAAGAATGATGTGAAGAGTTAATCATTGGAGTACAAAACTGTTATCACATGCTGGTAGATTACAACTAGTTAGGAGTGTTATGTTCTCTATTTCCAACTATTGGATGCAAATCTTTCCATTGCCAAAGAAAGTGGTAGCACATGTGGAAGGGCTTTGAAGAATATTTATGTGGACTAGAACAGATGAGGGCAATAGGAAAGCACCAATATCCTGGGATCATGTGTGTGATCCAGTATCTGCAGGTGGGAGAAACATGATATCGCTGGTTGATTGGAACAAAGCAACTATTGCTAAAATGCTTTGGAACATTTGGAGTAAGAAAGATATTTTGTGGATTAAATGGCTGCAAACTTACTATATGAAACAAGTGGGTGTGAAGGATTTCAAGTCTAGCCAGAACTGTTCTTGGATTATAAAAGCTATCTTCAAGAACAAGGACATGATGATTAACTCTGAATCGTGGCAGAATTTTCAGACGGACGGGAGGTACAATACTCGTATCATGTATAAATCCTTAAGGGGGGATAAACCTAAAGTTGATTGGATGGTCATATTCTATGGAAACCTTGCTAGACCTAGAGCAATTTTCATAATGTGGATGACATGCCAAAATCGGCTTATGACCAAAGATAGGGTGATCAAGTATGGTATAGCTACATATGGTCTTTGTATGTTCTGTAGTATGTTTGAAAGCTGCCACCATCTCTTCTTTGAATATGTCCACACTAATCAGATTTGGAAGCATGTCTTGCAGAGTTTTGATATTGATCATGAACCTGGTGATTGGAATGTGGAGTTGCCTTGGCTCATTCACATAACCCGTGGAAAAGGTACAAAAGCGAAACTGATTAAGATTGTAGTAGCAGAAACGATATATCATATTTGGAATATTAGAAATAAGTGTGTGTTCCAAAATGATAATAAAGATGCTTTGGATAGTGGAAAAATTAGAGAAACCGTTTTGTTAAGAGTTGAGAAAAATGGGAAACTGCTAGAGTATTGCAATAGGGCCTTGTAGTTTTGTCCCAATGTCTTCTTGTATTGTATTCATTTTGTGCCTGGATCAATTATGATCGGCATGTTTTGAATTGTTTTTGGCAATAATATATTTCTCTTATTTCAAAAAAAGAATCCCAATTATAAATCTAACAAGATTAAATAAATCTTTAAATTGAATAAAATCTTCCAACATAAAATAAATTCAATAGAATTAAACAAATTTTAAAATAAAACAAATTTCAAAGTAAATTCATTAGTAAAAACTAAATAAATCTAGTTAAAAATTCAATTTCAATTCATAAAAATAATGAGTTAAATAGATTGGATCAGAGAGTCCAATTCGTTTTGTCACACACCACTCCTACCGTTAATATTAAGTTGTTAAATAGGTTAATATTTAAATTCATAATAAAATAAGGTTCAGGAATCATAACTATTTTTTCTAGTTGTTCTACATGATCAACATTATCAAGAATAAAAAAAGACCTTTTATGACATAATTTACTTCTCATTGACTTAGTTCCATTATAGGGATTTCACATTTCTTGGTGTTTATTGCCAATAATTTGATTTAGAATTTTTTTTCTATGCGCCAAGAGGACCATGTAATTGTAAGAACTAGGTATGTAAATTCAGAAATTGTAAGGATTATACTTCAACATTGTAACAATAAAGATTATAATTCAGAATAACAATGGAAAATGGCTAAGTCAATTGAAGTAATGAATAACAATGAAAAATGACTAAGCTAATTGAAGTAATGAATATAATGGAATTAAAAGAAGGAGTTAGAAAAGCCTAAGCTTCAGAGGAAGAAGGGAGAGTCAAGTTTCCACTCAATTAATTCCACACCCATTATTGGTGCTTCCTCCCCTATTTAACATAGTTACCCACATGCTTTCTGTTAGGGAATTTAGCTCTCATTTCATGTCCTTACCTCTAAATATTAGGATCATATGCCAAGTGTCCATTCTCATCATAAAAATTAATTTTTGTAATAAGTGATTTGCCCTCATTCATAACATTACTCCTCTCATTAAAAGTAACCTTGTCCTCAAGGTTAAAATTAGGATAGCACTTGGTAAACTTAATGCGTTCTTTCCAGGTAGCTTCAGACATCGATAGATTGGACCATTTGATCAAGACCTGAGATATCTCCTTGCCATTTTGCAACAAAACACTAGAGTCAAGCACAATTTCTGGTTGCAAAATGGGACCCTTATCGGTGGTCTGAAAAGGTAAAGACACATATTGCACATTGTGATCACCCTTGCACGACTTTAAATTCATAATGTGGAAGACAGGATGAATCCTAACAGAAAGAGGAAGCAGTAACTTATAAGCTACAGACCCAATTTTTTTAATGATAGAAAATGGTCTGAAATATCGCAAACCTAGTTTTTGATTTTGATGTAAAGAGATGGAGTTTTGTCTATATGGCTGCAGCCTAACCAGAACCTTATCTCCAATTTACAACTCAGCAAACTTTCTTTTGTTATCAACATACTTTTCATAATTTGTTGGGCACGATGTAGATTAGTTTTGAGAAGTGGGAGGGTAATGTCCCTTTCAGTCAACAATGCTTGCAGGGAGGGTGGATCATTTGTTGCAGTATCATACTTGAGTAGTATAGGAGGGCCTCTCCCATAAACAACTTTGAGTGGGGTCATGCCAATGCTACATTGATAAGAAGAGTTGTACCAAAACTCTGCCCAGTCTAATAATTTAGACCATCTCTGAGGAACCTGTCCAGTAAAACACCTGAGATACATCTCCACACATTTATTTACTGCTTCAATTTGAACATCTAATTGTGGATGATAGGTCGAGCTCATTGCCAATGTTGTTCCACTAGCTTTGGAAAGATGCTCCCGAAAAGCACTGGTAAAAACCTTATCCCTGTCAGACACTAAGCTTTTGGGAAATCCATGTAACTTGATCACAATGTGTAAGAAAGCCTTATCAACCTTAATACTAGTGAAATCAGATCTTTAGGAAGTGAAATGAGCATGCTTTGAAAGTCTGTCTACCACGACCATTATGACAATGAACACATTGGATGGAGGAAGGCCAGTAATAAAATCCATAGAAACATCTTCTCATATTTGAGAAGGAATAGGTAAGGGCTGCAAGAGGCCACTAGGAGCTGTAGTGGAAACCTTGGCTTGCTGACATACTAAGCATTTAGAGACAAACAAGCGTACATCATGAGATAAAGAGGGCTAGGTGAATTGAGAAGCAATTCGTGCCTTGGTACGGGCAATACCAGAATGACCATCTAGCATGGAAGAGTGGAATTCCTGTAAGATGGATTGGACAAGTGCAGCATTGGAAGACACCACAATCTTATTTTTCCAATATAAAATGTCTTGTCTGACTTGGTACAAAGGGTCTGTATTAGTACCTTGCATACAATGGGCTTTGATCCCAGACAGGATGGATCAGCACTGACAGTTGTGTTGATACGAGACAAGAGAGGATTAACTGGTCCTGAAAAATCCATAAAGAAAGACCGCGATAGAGCATCTGCATCAATATTTTCCTTTCCCAGTTTGAACTTAATTGTGAAATCAAATCCAAGAAATTTATGCAACCATTTTTGTTGTTCAGGGGTTTGTATGGTCTGATCAGTTAGAGCCTTTAAAATGTGTTGATCAGTGCGGATAATGAACTTATTGCCCAATAGATAATGCCTGAATTTTGCAATGGCTTCAGTGACGACATAAAGCTCTTTGACACATGCTGATTTGGTCTGCATAGAGGGATTGAGTTTCTTAAAAAAATAAGCTATAGGGTTCTTATCTTGACTAAGAATAGTATCAATCCCTGGAATTTTTTACCACTATACCCAACTTTCAAGACAGTATTTGTCATATTACCCAACGTTTCGAAATAAACACCATTATACCCTAGTTTCAAAAAAAAAAATTTATAGAGGGTGCGCCATCCAGGATGGAGGCACCCTTATAATTTGAAGGGAGGCGCCATCCATAATGGAGGCACCCTTAAAATTATAAGGAGGGGTGCCATCCATGATAGAGTCAGCCTTATAATTTTAAGGGAGGCGCCGTCCCCTTTGGAGCCCCCTTATTTCGTTTAATTCATTTAATTCAAATATAAATAATATAATAAATCTTTATAATATTTAATATTATTTTATACCAAATTTTTTTTGTATAAATAGTTAGACTTGTTTCATCCAAATTAACATTGTTTCATCCAAATTTAGGAGAGTGAATCATGTATCTTAGAAGATATGGGCATGTCATTTTCTCAAGAACTAAGCCTCCGATAAGGATGTTGTTTTGGAACAACCAGAGTTTAGAGCAACTACGAAGAAATTTAAATCGCTGGTTAGAAGGAGACATTCCAAATGGTGAAAGCATTAGAAGTATTGAAAGACTTGTTTCGTATTTCTCTATTGCAGACGAAAATATACGGCGAGAGTGAGTGCGAATTAAAGATGACAACAAAGTTAGGTCTATGATGTTTGGAACTAATGATATTACTTTGATTGTTGTTATATCTTAGTTTATATTGTAATAATCGTTATATTTTTAATGATTTACGTTGTTGCTCTAGAAGTATTTCAATTTGTTTTTGTGGTAATGAAAAGTTGTTATAAATATTAAATTCCAAGGTTACACATTTTTTAATGACCAAAGTAAATCTATCTAGAACTTGTTCCAACATTTGGACAATTTTTCCTCGTATGCCCGGGAAGACGACATATTCCGCATAATCTTTC